TTATTATTGATAATAAAATGAGAAATAGAAAATCAATATATGTAGAAGAAGGAGTGGCAGAACCTGGGGGGTGGAGTTCAAAGAGGGATCACCCTAGACTCCTTATGTAGCCATAAATGGACTAAGATCAACCCCTATCTAATTCCAAGCAGGTGCTACCTTCTCTGGATAAGAGGAAGGAAATCTGGACTACTGCCCACAGACTGTTTAACAATAAATCAGTTTAATTGGACCTTCACATGTGGACCTGGTCTTTCACACCTGACATTATAGGCCATCCTTTTCTTTCTCTTTCATTGTAATGGATTTGGCTCATATACCTGTACTCACTGCCACATAAGGATAAACCAAGTATAAAGATAAGGATAAGGATAAGGATTAGGATAAGGATAAGGATTAGGATTAGGATTAGGATTAGGGTAAGAGTAAGGGTAAGGGTGAGGGTGAGGGTGAGGGTGAGGATGAGGGTGAGGGAAAGGGAAAAGGAAAAGGAAAGGGAAAGGGAAAGGGAAAGGGAAAGGGAAAGGGAAAGGGAAAGGGAAAGCATAAGGAGTGGTAGTTGTTTAAGCTACAGATGATGCCATTAGGTTTCTTACCACTATTTTAAAATATTTATTTCTTGTCAACTTCTATCTTTAATTGCAAAAAGAAGTGAACTAGATGTCTATACCTATATGCAACTGGATACATATGGATTCATTTCAGATTAAACCAGCTTCTTTCCTCTGAAGTTATTCTGAAGTCCTATTGATATTTTATTAATCTATACATTTGTTCTCATTTGCGTTTCTGATTCCTTCAAGTGCCTCATCAACTCACATAGTTGTGTATTTCCTTTAGCTATCATGCACTCTTCATTCCCATTTGACCCAGGAAGGGGTGAGAACAGTAAAAAAGAAAAAATAAAGAAAAGGCAAAGAGAAAAATAAGGTATGAGAGAGATATTCAGAGAAACAGATCACTTTCCCTCTTCCTTCCCCCTCCACATAATTCTCAGCAGACAGAACTTATAAAAATAATAATAAACAGTTCATTAAATTTTATGCCAACCGACTTCCAGCAACTTCAGATGAATTACATAATTCAGAGGGATCTAAGTTGTTTATACATTAATCACTGCAATCAAATTGATAAAACCCTGCCTTCAGTTTTAATATTTTTTTTTAAAAAAAATTCCACAGTATATTGTACCAAAGACAGCTTTTCACTTCCGTTGTATAAAAGTTTTCCATTTTTGGAGCAGTCTTGACAAATGACTGTCTTGTGAATGAAAGAGAAAGAATGCTAACTTTATCTCCTGTTTCCACAGTGCCTTTTAGATAACCCTTTTTGTTTCATGTTCAGAGCTTGCTGTCTACACACGCCTCAGAGTCTCAGCTGAACAATACCTCAGACTTTTAGCTGACATTTCAGCCTGAGCCCATGTCAAACACACGCAGGGAGAAAGCCTTGATGTATTAAGAAGTTTCAGCATATTAGCATTATTTCAAAACACTTCAAGCACTAAAGAAGAACAGGCTTCTAGCAAAGTATTTGGGTGTGTGGAGATTTTTAAATGTACAAGCACAAGCATTAAATTCAGAAATAATGAATCAAATTAATCACTGGAATGTGCCAATAGTAAATTTAGCTACAATGCAGTCTTTTGCAAGCTAGAAGTCATAGATGCAGAGCATGCCTTTACAAGGTCTATGGAGAATGTTCACAAATACTAGAAAAATGCATTTTATGTATTTTAAGTGTATTTTTTAAAAAAATAAAGAAAGAAAAGAAACCAGAATGTTTACAGAGAGACAGGCAATTGGATTATTATTTAAAATTTTATGAGCTGCTTTCTTCTGGAAATTATCCCCCAATGTTTATAGTAAACATTAAAAACCACAAAAGCTTTGCACAATATCAATACAATGAATATTAAAGAAAATTTGTGTTGACAGCTTCCCTCCCTCCCATCTTTGTTTTTCTTCCAGGCAGATGCTAAAGTCTCTACTTGCTTATAACCCTGGGTACCACAGAACAAAATTGGAGTGCAATGAGACTAACCAATTACAACCCAGCAGTAATAGGGAGTTGATGGCTTCCATCTGTTTTATGTATTCAAGCAGACACTTGTTGGGCGTGTTTTTTGTTTAGTTGGACTCAATGACCTCAATGGACATTTCCAAATTCATGACTCAATAATGGAAGGCAACCGAGGAACAGATACATAAATAAAGCCACGCAGTCATTTTTCTGAGTGATGGTAGCATATAAATTTAATAATTAAATAGATCATGCTACATTATTTCCCATTAATATATATATATATACACCCCTATTTCTATTAGAGTCTCACTTTCAATTGTTTATAGGAAGCTACCCTACATGGGTCTTGGTTTGTTGATGAGTATCCATCTGACAATAATACGTTTGATTATTACTAGAACCAGGCATATTAGTTCATATTAAAAAAATATTGTTACGTAAATTATTTCACTGGAAAACACAATTTGAAGATATTTCTAAGAAGCCTATCCTATCGATGAGGATTTTCTTAACTTCATTTTTATTAATTAAAGACCTCAATGTATAAATGTCTTCAAAAATGAGATAAGAAGGTAATTATTGAAAAATAATAAACAAGGGAGAAAATAAAGTTAATAGATTTTTCTATTTTTACCTGTTACTGACATCAGCTTCAGATGAAATCTTTGCAACAGGAGAAGTTGTGAATATTTTTAATTCTGTATTTTTACAGAACGCAAGACTGCTTATTATCCCAACCAAGCAGATTACACAAATACTTAGAAGAGAGATATACTGAACATGAATGTGTCACTATACTGTATCAAATGCAAAATCTGTAGAACATTTATATGTAATCTTAATATTCAAATATAATCTAAGTTGCATGATTTATTCATCCACAATTTAAAAAAAACTAATTTACTGTCACCTTAAGAACGAATGCCTAAGTCTGCATCAATTTGCCCTTCCTTTTTTTAAAAAACATGTTAGAACAATTTACATTTTACATTAGTTTCACTGATTGCACCCAGCAAACCACTGAAGATACATCCTTAGACTACTATCTATACTCTACAAAAAAGCTTGTCTCTTTTTGATATTTGTAATCTTCAACTGGACGAAACACTGTATCACAGAGAAATACTTTATCAACAAAGGTACCTCAAATGGGTTACAGAAGGCTGGACCCATTACTTCAAGTGAATGAAATTTGGAGGAATGGAGGGAGGGAGATTTCATATGTTCACTGCCACCTTTCCACAAGGAAATTCAATGGGGAAAACACCAGGAAGTTGCTCCTACTCTCAATGATAGTTTCCCTGCCCATGGTCACTGTTTTTCTGATTAAGTAAGGAAATATGTATGAAATGATGACCCAATGGATCATAGGTTCTCTAGTGTCCAATAAAGGTACAATTTTGGATGACTGCAACTTGAGGTCCCCTGCAGCAACATTCTAAGAAAAAAATGGTGTAACTCTTAATATGTAAGGCACCATTTTCAGTCACAAGAAACTTATTACTTTTCAGACCTCTTTATCTTAAAATGATTAATATGATTAATATCTCTGTCATTTGTCAAGATACATTGTCCAGCATCAAGATACATTGTCTCTTTCTCACAGATATGCTCTATTGTTTTGTTTTTATTTTTTTTAAAAAAACATATTTAATAGGAGTTAAGAAACCTCCCACAAATCCACCTAACTCATTATTAAACTCATCTTTTGCTAGCCATTATACCTTTTCACTAACACAAGAAATTATTCACTGTGTAAAAGATTTTTTCCCCTCTTTCGTTTTTACGTTAACTGAAATTTAACTTGTTCTTTCAGCCATTGAATTATTGTCTTCTGTTTCTTGGTGAATAAAATGAGATATTACAGCCAGTTGTCTGAGAACCATTTACTTGTATGGGTGATGGATTAGATGATGGATTCTAACAGACAACATTGATTGGAAATGTATGGAAAGCCCATCAACTCTACTGAAAGCTGTTGATTTTCTCATTGAAATTCATATTGTTTTACTAGAGAATAATTTGATTTTTCACTGAGTCATATAGTTGAAATGTGATGTCAGGTCTAGCCCTAGGTATGCTTTCTAATAGCTCTGATGGCCATGCTTGCTTATTAATTTTTATGATTTATTTACTGTCTTTCTATTTGCAGAACTGCTGAGGCTCTTTAAGTGCCCTTTAAATGGCTGGCCTCTACTCAGCTCTCAAATCAACTGAGCTGTACCACAAAACCTTAGGTTACAAAAAGAATCTAGCACTATGCTTTGGCTTGGCACGTTCAATTCTTCTATTGCCAACTACTGTCAATAACTATTTGGAAATGTGACCAAAAGGAAACAAAAACCCAAGTCCAGAGAAAGAGGACTCTCCTGCTGAAAGTTACAAAGTCTAAGGTTGCCATTTAATTAGAGCTAACTGGTATTTTCTTCACAGCTTTCTAAGTTATTTAACATACAATTTTCCCATGTTGCTTTTTGCTAATACCACTCAAGCAAATACAAACTGTTTCATTTTGGAAACATGCCTTACAATTATCCACATACCAGGTATCAAAGTTGCACAGCGCAGATACCAACGTGTTGCAATGTTAACATCTGTTTATTTAAATTTTTATATTAACTCTGTGGTGGTTAAGGTGCTGGCCTAGAAATCAGGAGATTGTGTGTTCTAGCTCCACTTTAGACATAAAAGTCAGCTGAGTGACTTTTGATCCAATCACTCTTTCAGTCCAACCCACCTGAAAAGGATTGTTGTTGTGAAAAAAATAGGGGGAGGAAGGAATATTAGTTATGTTCTCCACCCTGACTTATTTACAAAGTAATAAAGATGGGAGAAAAAAAACTAATTAATAAACTTTTGCAATGGGGATTTATTTTTAATACTTTTTGTTATGATACATGGTTATGGTTACAATTCATAGCAGGAGTTTGAGATTGGCAATCAATCAATCAATCAATCAATCAATTCATACTTACAATTGATCTGATGAGGTTCTCTTTTGCCAGTTTCAAGGAGGTTTTATAGCAATTTGCCAGATCTTCTTTATGGATATCACTAATATGTCCTCGAGCTATAGGTCCCACAGTGTGAATGACATCTGCAAAGAATAACACAATCAGTATCAAAACTTGAATAAAATTATATAAAATGTCAAAGGCAACTTGGTAAGTCAGCAGACGGACTCTGATCATGAGGATTTTTCCTGATTAATGACAATGTCCCTGACCCTGTGAGTCGGATGATGTAAGAGGTAGATATGAAGTAAGGAAACAAACTCTTCCAAGTCCTGTACTGGGAGTGCCTTCTAAAACAGGGGTGTCAAACTTGTATCATCATGGTGGTGTCATGTGACGTATCGGGACTTTTCACCCTCTTCGCTAAACTGGGTGTGGGCGTGGCCAGCACATGACGCATCCAGCTCGCGGGCCAGGAGTTTGACAGTCTCTTCTAAAGCAATGATTACTTTGCATTAAGAAAGAATCCTTTTCTCTTGGAGAACCAGGACGTAATTGCTGTCTGGCTCATCTACAAAGACAAAGGAAGGCCCTTAGGGCTCAGCGTTTAGAAGGAGAATGTTTCTGATTGGAGAAAAGCAGCTCAGAAATCCCCCCCCCAAAAAAAAATACAGGCAAGGAAAAGTGAAGAGTCTGGAGGAAGAAAACTGGGGGTCAGTATGCCATGCCTTGTTCCCACAATACAATCAACGCAGTCACTACTAATCGAGTCAAATCTTCTTACTAGTGATTCTGGCAGCGCACAACCACACTAGCTAAGTTAAAAAAAAAAACTTGTAGGAACAAAATCCTCCTCCTCTCCAGAGTATCAGATGACAGTGTTAAACTATCCCATAAACTCTTGTACCTGAAAAATATTGGCAAAGCTTTGTGACATCACATTCTGGTTTGTTCATTGCAACCAATCAGTGCTTAAGGGCTATGTGCTGTGCTGTCAGGCCACAGCAATGAATTTTGTATGAAAAGGGCTTATTTTTTCAGCTGTTTTTATTCTCCACTCCCTTTGACCGAGTATGCATGCTGTGAGAAACAGGATCCATCAATTGCATTTGGCCAGGTTCTCTCAAACATGCCAAGCTCTCCCAAGGATGCTGAAACAGCATTTCAATTCTGCCATTTTCTTTGTAGATTAGCAAACACAAAGATTTAAATAACTGTCAAAGGGAAATATCTACCAGGGAATTTGTTTTGTCAGTAAACTCCATGGACCTGGTAAAATCAAACATGAAAGGATTTACACAGCCAAACATTCTGACAGCTGTAAACATCATACTGAGAATCACATGAAAAGGAAATAATCAACCTTCTCTTTTAATCATAGTTATTTCCCCTAGACATAAGGTAGAAGGGGCGAACTATTTGGCTGAAGAATTACACCCAGAGTAATTAGGAGCAAAGCTATTTAATACTATTTCCAATAACTGAAATTTGAATTTGACACTTAGGGTTTGTTTGCCAGATGACAAGAAGAATAACACATGATTGAAATATAGTTTTCATGCTGGTTTTATCCCTTTGAGCTGACTCACATATGCATTTTAGGCAGTCCAATAATAAATGGAGATTTATTGCCAATGGAACAAATTCAAAAATGAATGGAGAGACGTCTCCGTTTCCGCATGCCATTACTTTTCATTATCATGTTTACTGTATTTGAAGGTAACATCAGACACAGTGGACTGTGTAAGACAACACATCTGTGTGTGCGAGGTTTGAGTCCTGGGTTGTTGTTTTTAAAAATGCAAATATTTTAAAGCTGAAGCCGACACAGTGCCTTAATCAGAGAAAGTTCATTTTATTTATTCTGCCAACTCCTGAAATGCCATATAATGTGGTCACAGTAGGACTTCCTCTTCAGCTATAAATACTTATTGCCACAAAATGTTGCAGGAGCAGCAATCAGATTTGACATTTGATTGCCAAACCTAGGCCAGCAGTATTACTACATCAGTCATAATTAACAATGTCCAAATCTTAAAAGGAAGTATCAGAGCAAAAAAACACAAAAAACCCACAAGCTTACTAATTATTAAACATCTGCTTTGGCTATAAGAAACATGATGCTTTGGGAGGCCATTTCTTTGTGATGTTGATAAATGTTTTGCAAATTAGAGTTAAATGATCAGCTGGGTATATTCATGCAATTTTGATGCTGCATTTTCCTAATAGATAAGTGATTTTAAAAACCCTGTTATTTTACAGAGCAGTTCCTCTAGTTAAAAGACTCTTATCCTTCATGCAGGGAACATTAAAAGTTTTAACTAGAATTTCTGCTTGCCAAATACCTTCAGAGACAAATATGACTTGTAGAGCAATTTGATTACTATAAAATGTTAGTTTTCCTAAAATGGTGCAGTTGGCATTTAAGTGCAAGACAGCACTATCCAATTTTTTGCTCTAATGGAATAAATATTGCACATAAAAGACTGGCAAAAATGCAGCGCCTAGAATGCTTTAGAGACTTTGAGACTCTAGTGTAAAAAAGACAGAGACGTTTTTAAAATAAATTCATTCATTTATGAAAGAGGAGGAAACACATCAAGAATTGTGGGCCTGGTTTAGATTACTACTTTGACAGACAGACTAAAGATGGGCTAGAGACACGACTTTTTCAAAGCAGCAGTCAATTAGGATATGAATCCTCTCCCTTTCTGCTCCCAACCCAAAAGCTGGGAGCCATACGGGAAACATATGCTACCAAGACTGTTCCAAAATCTTTCAAAGAATGCTAACATACAGAGTGATATAAAATGGCTGTGAGTGCTTATGTTTTAGCAATAAAAGAGACAATGTTCTAACATTTGTGTGAAATAAGCAGACTGATTTTTAAGATTAAAAACAAATATAACACTAAAGGAAGGCAAGAGAAGGGAAAGCAGAAAGAAAGAGAAAAGAATGAGAAAGCAAAGAACTTTAGGGAACTGTAGTAAGTCTGTTCTCAATAATGGTTTTGATAACTGAGGGAAACATCGGAGTAAAGTTTAAAATTAAATCTAATTTATGTAAAACTACAAACATGGATGAGGAAAGAAGAGCCTCAAGCCTCAAATTCCAAACTCTCGGTCAACTTTAGAACAATTTCTAAAACTTACCTTTAAACAAAAAGAGAAAAGTAAAATATGCAGCACAAAAGCTGTTCTGAGTATGTTAGAGGTCACTTTAGAGAAGATAAAATGCCACTAATGACTCTCAGTGTTGGCTCTGAGGTACAGTCTGGGACTATAAAGGACACTCATCCAAATTGACTTATGGAAAACAGAAGGCATGAACAGAAAGCAAATATTTAAGTTAATATATTTATGTACTACTCCAGCCTTCTTCCAAAGTGAGGTCTTAAGATTCATGAGGCATCTGAACTCAAGTCAATCAGCACTGAATTCAACCGCCAATCACACTAGCTAGCCATAATTAAAACAGATTCAAAGAACTATTCCATATTGGGGGGGGGGGTGTCTGGCAGTGTTGTTTTATGATACTTTTTATTCCTACAGCAAAGGAAGAAAGGTGGCACATATTATTATCCATTTCTATTGGATCTAAGATTAGCATAATCAATCTACTACCCATAATAGTGATCATCCTGGTATACAGGTATAAGTAAATTCTTACCCATAAAAGTAGCATGTAAAATTCAACTTATAAATGCTATAGACTAGAGCAACTGTATTTCTAATCATGAAAGAGTAATTAAAACCAAAACCAAAATAAATGTGTGGCAAGTTAAAAGAAATGGCCAGGCATGTATTCTTCAAAGTGAAATTAAACAATTATATCACCAGGTAAAGTATAAAGTGGTTTCAGTTTGTAGAGCATAATTAATGGAAGCACTATCCCTGCATACAGGAGAGGGCTCACATATTCATCAGACATGAGACATGTTTTTTATTTTCATTCATGTCCCCTGCAGCCACGTGCTACTTTTTGTGATAATCCATGAGGAACACAGTCCCCAAAAGGCATGTAAATGGTCTCTTGAATTGTTCTCAGGATAACTTGAAAGGAGACGAGGGAGTAAATTTCTGTTTAACTAGGAATATTACATCCTGTTACAAGTTCTATAAACTAATTACCACGAATAAAATTGTATACATAGAAAAGGAGTTACCAGATTCACCTAAGTTTGAAAAAGTTCAGTAAGGATCTTCAGTGGGAACCAAGATGTAAAATAGGGTTCAGATGTGCTAATGGATTGAACATAGTAGACACATAATGTTATGTGTGTTTTGGGGTGGGTGGAGAGTGACAACTAAAAAGTAAACGAATATAGAGCTACCGCTATCATTAGCCCTAAAAATGCAGGGGAAGATATTGGCTCTTTGTCAATGTTGATGAAAGATTCAACTTTCTAGTCAATTTCTGTATACAGAACAGGAAGAAACATCATCTAACATCTTGTCTTGTTGGTCTGTTCCTTCATTTTAGGAAATACAGTGTCTGGACTCAGCCTTGGGGAAAAGTACAGCTGTCTGAAATTTTGAAGAGAAACACTCAACTCTATAACATATGTGAAATTCCTCCCGGTTCATCCAGTTCTGAAATTTGCTTTTTCAAGAATATCTCACAAGGTATTGAAATGACAGTGATTTAAAAGAAAACCCTATATTAATTCTGATCTTAAAATTATTCTTAAAAAGGTAAGACAATATTAGTCTTGCAAGGTAACCCAGACAGGAAACACAAACAGGAGTGCTATATCCACCTTTATTGTAAGTTTATATTGTCAGAAACCTGAAAGCCTGAAAGTACCCTTCCCATCTCTCACTTTTACTTTCCTGAAAACTAGGTATGGCCCCTTCTGAGAGGTTTTGGCCACCTCTCCATCTTTGGTCTCAAATTGCTTTTATCAGACCATTATGTAGGCAGTGGCTCTCCCTCCTGTGTCCCAGTCATTCCCACATACCATTACAAAAAACTGTAAGTTAGGGTTATTACATTTATAAGCCTAAGTGAAATCAGCTAAGATTTCCCCATTTTTGACATCCTTGTCCCGCAAAGCTTACACTGCTATATATGACATATTATATATAATACTTTATACAATCCAAGTCACAGCATTTATCCATCAACCTCACTCAGTACAGAC